CGATGTGATGCTTGAGAGGATAGATATTGGGAAAATAATTCTCGTTTATCATCATAGCCCAGGAGTGTACAGCAATGCAATCCTTCAAAGAGGCAAGACAAGATAAAGGCCCCAGTCTGCTAGATGGACAATGTGTTAAATTGATTGTATCTATTTGTTGTTGTTGTGGGAATTGTTGTTTAAACTATTCATTACTACTTTAGAGCCTTGTGCAAGTCTACAACACAATGTGCCATGCGGGCTGCTGAGAGCGGTACTGCTTTGTAATTAACTGGGCAGGCTTTCCATTCGCAGACGCTCTGGAATGTGTGTTGGGGCCATGAGGTGGCGGGCTTGTCAAGTGAGTGGCTGGGGAGTTAAAAATACCAGCTGGGAGTTTGTTGTGGGAGTGTGAGTTACTGCATTTCCTGATTGTAGCGGTAACTGACACAATCGGAGTAGTACTACTAAACTAAGGGCTTTAATATGACTAACGCTTGGTCTCTAATTAACTTAAATTTGACAGAAACAATAATTCCTTTTATGTTATTGAAATGAGGATTCATATAGACATGGAGAAAACAGACTTACTTCATTTAAGGCCCTAGCAAAATGGAAGGAAAATAATGCTATTCAGCAATTGTGAGACAGACTATAATAAAAGTGATAGGGCTTATAGCTGGATTTTGATGCCATGATTATTTCAAGGATCTCGTGCTTTTACAATTTGTATTCGATACAATGCGATAATATATGGCTTACCTATATGTGTCCGATCTGATGAAACCTTGACACTTTACACAGAAGGGTCCGAATATCACAATATAAGTTCTTGCTGGCACTTCCTAGAAAGGGGTCCGAATGTCACAATATAAGTTCTTGCTGGCACTTACTAGAAAGGGGTCCGAATGTCACAATATGTTCTTGATGGCACTTCCAAGAAAGGGGTCCGAATGTCACAATATATGTTCTTGATGGCACTTCCTTGTTCGTCACCTTTACCATGGAGTTCTTTAGGTCTAGTGTCCCACAGTTTTAGTACAGTCTTGAGCCCGTCTTCAGAGTTTACACGAGTTAGATCATTAGTTACATGTACCCACTATAAACGTCTCTCATTATTGACACTACCGGTTATGTCAGCACAATGTATTTTCATTAGTGTTATAACATATGCAACCCCTTCAGATTTTGACACCTCTGATTAACAGTGTTTGCCAGCGCGGCATGATTTTTCACACCACCGCCTGGGTTGATGCAACACCTAGAATATTAACATGACTGGTTTATGTCAGCTCTGCACAATTTATTCTACTGCAGGAGTATATACAACTGACCAATTATTGCAACCACTGATTATACTGGCGCGGCTTGATTTTTCACACAACCGCCTGAATTCATGCAAAACCTCAAATATCATCAAAACTATTTGGTTGAAGCGACACATTTTCTTCCGCTGTTGCAATTTACGTTATTGACACCATTACTAAAGTTACAGCAGCACAAATGTTCACTGCACTGACAAAGTCAAGCCAACCACTCCATATTTTCAGTACCACTTGTACAACTTTGTGTCCCCACGGGTCCCCACAGCTCCTGGTTATTTGCACAGCTATTCATGCCACTGTGGCACAATTCTGTAATGTCACCTATACCTCACCAGAGAGATCTTATACCATCAGGTCTTCACCACACACAGTTATTCATACTGCTGTTAGTTCCATCGCTTCACAATGCTGAAATGTCGACTGTACCTCTCAGGGAATCTTACACCATCCGATCTGCACATCTCAGTTACATCCTACAGTCATTGATGCCGCCTCGACACAGTTCTGTAATATACAACGTACCTCTCTTCGGAGATCTTACCCCACATCTGTCACCACACATCTCCACCACGTATCCAAAGGGTTCTTAATTACACCGCCCTTTTACCTGACAGGTAGTTGTGTTACCTGTCAGTTATCCCACACATGGAGGGCGTTTCTTTACCGGAACTACGGTATACCCTCGTACTTCGGTCCTTGGATAAGGGATAAGGGATGTGCGAGAGGTACCGTGTCAGTACCCGAGGGCCCTTTGGACCTTTACCGTAGTTCCTCCAGCAACCACAAGACGATGATCTTCGTTCCACAGTTTTATTAACACTGCGTTGCTGGTCCAACCAACTCTATTTGTCACATAATTAGGAGACTTCAGCTGGAAAGCTTCAGTCTCAGTCGAAATGCTGGTGCTTTGAGTTTGTTTCTTAGTACGAAAGTTAGTGACATTCAGATGAGAGATGATGCGCCCTAGACCCCAGGCTTGGGGTTCTTAGGAGCACACTCGTTCTCGGCTTCAGGTCTCGCACCACTCTCTCGTCTCTGAGCTTTGCTCCAGCTTAAAGCTGGGTTCCTACGTCACAACCAACACCCTTTTCCACTTTTTTCTATTGGTCAATAACCCATAACCTGACTATCTATTACTCTCCCCCACCTCTATTTCGTACCCCTACTACCATATTTGTAAGACTGTGAGGTGGATTCCAGGAATCTCAGAGTTTCTCTCCCCTAACCATATATGACTTGTAGAATACCAAGAACCGGTAACAAGGTCCCCGGCCACGCTGCTCCATCATGATAGTGTAGTAGTTTTCCCATTACCTAAGCTATGAGTCACTTCACCTTGCCCCCATGAGATCCAACGACCTACTTTCATGTTTATTACCTCCGCTACTGACTTCCTACCTTACAACGTTATTAATCACTTCATATCTTAAATATATTATTAAATCCTCTCATTATTTGTATCTTATCACCTCTTAATCACCTGTTATTAATAATGTCAATTGTATATCTATTATTCCAGCAAGTACCATAATCTCATGCCTCATCTCTTGTGCCCTCACACTCTAAGTTCTATCTTTATCAATACTATAATTTCATGCCTATAATAAAAGCAGGGTAAAACTCTTTCACTGTTTGGGAGCAACTAGAAAACTATCTGGAGCGGGACCGAATAGTTCTAAATCCTTCTTATGGATACACGTAAACTTCAAAAATACGTTTTAACTTAACAACACATTTCAGTAAACTTTGTAATACATTCCAGGTGTATTCAGAATGGCAACAGTGGCCTCTGTTGAGAGGCATGTATCAAGGTAATGAGTAGGTGGACTTTACCGACGATTTGATGATTTGAGCTGGGTTAAACGCCGCTTCCTATCTCATATAAACCCGAAGAACGCAGGTCGCCAGAACATTTGGTGAAACAAACTCACAGGCGCTTGTTTGGTTCAGCGCAAATCTTTATTTAGACCCATCATCATCAGATTCTGGCCTGCCTACTGGAGGCAATCGTTTTCAAGAATCGTACATGTATCTTTTGAAGTTTAAACTTATCCTCTGAATAACGAGCATTTTGACCGGTGATTCTTGCAGTCTGCCAACCCTTATATGGCCACAGTGGCTACTATCACGGATTCGGACACACAGTTAACAAAGTTGACTGGTTAGAAACATGCAAGGTACAGATACTGACAAGATAACAACGGTTTTCGATCACATCGATTTTTATTGGTTATTATAAAAGCACAATAAAAAATGAAAAGGGAAATGTGGAAACGAAAATCTAGAAGGTAACTGAATAGAAGTTATAAAACCAAATCTACACTCTTCAAAGCATTAAACGTTTGAACATTATCCAGTTCTGAATAAAAAACACACAAGGAAATGAATGTTAATTTTTGAATACTGTGTTAAATAACAAACATGAGAATCACTGGATTGTCTGGTCTAGACTATTTACACAAGGTTATCACATAGTATGAGTATGGCGGAGGGTAGCGTTAAACAACAGAAATAATATATATAAAACGTAATAGCAAGAACAATCGCCTTAAAGATGTAAACTGCATATGTGCATACACATACAAAATGCAAACAGAAAAACCGCTTTGATAAAAAAAAGAACAACATGATATCTACACTTTTAAATAGCTAGTATTTTGGGTTGGGATGTATTAGCTTTTTGTCAAAAGACCTCAACAATTTTATCTTGTTAACAATGACAATACTGTCAATTGTCCACTGGAGAACACGGGAAGGTAAATAGGGACATCATTTTTGTCACTGGTCAGATTAGATTATCTTCCATATTATGGCCACGTTGGAAAGTCCTGTACCCTCGGATGTTGTAACTTTGATCATAAACCTTTGTGCAATAAGACGTATGATACTCTTTGAAATAGTGTAATCCTGAGTAATGAAAAAAAATATTATTCACAAATGTTTTCTTGCGGTGATTAAAAATCAAACTAAATTGCTCCTGATTAAAATTACGGGAATAGATCATTGTTCATCTGAACAAAATATCCAAATGGAAACTCTTTTTAGTAGTAAAGGCAACAGAGCATATCAGTGTCAATTTTAAAAGCTTTTCAAGCGATAACATAAAGGAAAAGAACGCTAAAACATAAACAAGTTACATACATTTCATCAGAGCTTTGAGTCTACAGTTAAAATCATCAGCGAGGTTTTTTAAATCTTCTACTAAGTCAGACGGGATCTTGTTTCGCAAATCTTGGAACGATTGGAGCAGCATGAAAACAGCCATCGTGAGAGACAACATGTAGAGATCAGGAGTCAGCACATGCATGGAACTGACACGTGGGTAAGACATTGGGAAGAACACGCCAATGACCGCTCTGATGTAAGATGTCTCTGACGGACTTCCCATGTCAATTTGATCAGAATCAAAGTCGGGGCTATATCCAAAAGGCCAAAACAAAATATATATCGTAAGAAAACACTTAAGAGTAACGAAAAGTAATTCAAAGCAGTTTTGATTTGATATCTTATAGTCAAACGAAAATGTGCCTTGACCAGCTATAGCTTGTTGAGTTGTTTCCTTCTGTGGGTGTCTTTTGGATAGTTTTCTCGGATAAACTTTGATAATATGTTCCATGGCATATGTCTGTTGTCTCAATACTGACTTAGCTCTATATACACAGTAGTACTTATAGATGAGGGGCAACAGTTCGAAGACAAGCAGAAAGACGTCGTATAACATCAAGGCTCCATGTGCAATAGTGCATACCCACCCTCCACCTTCGAGACATAAACAAACGGTAAGCAGGGAAACCACTGAAGCTAACACAGTCTCCACAAGAAGGGTGAACCATTTTGACCTCAACAAAGCCTGCCTGACATATTCATACTCCATGGAAATAATTTCCATTTCAACAGTGATGTCTTCTGAAATCTTTTCTTTCGACTCCTCCCAGGTGTGAGAATGTTTCTCTTGCTCTCTCGATATGTCTTCAATTCTCTTCCTCAGCTTCAGCACTTCGTCAGAAGGCTCTGAAACTAAGTTAGTAAAAAGGTGATATTGTAGACTTTCTAAATGATAGAATTTCTAAATATTTGTCAGTGAGATACATTGTTTCGTTTTTTAAGCCATGCATTTGAAACGAGGTAATTAGGATCGTACACTTACCCTCTTTCCCTTTTAAATTATCCGCTATGCTCCGAATTTCTTCTGCAGTTTTGGACGGAGTTTTCTTGTGAATTTTGATGCTGTTGGTGACTATTGTATGAATATCTAGAGGCACAGTCAGCAAATTAATCACCACACCTGCAGCTTTCACTCCTTTTAGTCCCGTTTCTACAAACTCTGTGACGACTTTGGCTGTACCTAACGTAGCCCCCCCAACACGGGCCCCAAACTTAACTGGTTCAGCACCATCACTACTTTTGGACGATGTGCCCTTAAGACGGTTCAGTATTGATTCAAACAGATTTGGTTTCAGCAATCTCTTCACCGTGTCAGCGAAAAATGTTTTGAACTGTCTTGTATGTCTTCCTTCCATGTTGTCCATCAAACACAGCATATCCTTCCCTCTTTCATGAAACACTTTGGCTTCCTTCTCAGCTTTTCTTAAGGTCTTGGTATTAATGATTTTATCTGCAACCTCTGTGGATAATCCCCCTACCCCGCTGGTCACTCCAACTGTCACGCCGGCAATGGTCAACCCCAGAGAAGCACCAAAGGTAGCTGGGGCACAAACAATCCCTGCTATAGTAAGTGCTGCTGCAACAATGCCTCCAGATGCAAAACTAGTTTTAGCTATGTTCATTTTCCGCTGTGCTTTGTCCAGTTCATCAGCCAGATCATAAAGACTTTTCACAGTTTTATCATTCTGTGTGTTGACTTCCGCTATGGCCAGCTGTATCTTGTCCTCATATTCTTCAACAGTCATAGCTGGAGAGACCGCCATTTTCCTTTGGAATAAATATGAACATACAGGGTATGTATGGACAGACATACATCTATGTATATCTAAATGCTTACATACGAATATATACTATTATTGCAGTAACAACTAATAAACGTCAATAAATACCCACTAAAACTAACTGCTTTATATATACAGTTTAAAGAATACGGGATGTTTTTCTAAATTAATCAATTAATTGATGCATATTTCAAAACAGATTCGTTTCGAAAACCCCTGGACATGAAGGTCGCAATTGGATTTGGATGTTGGCATGCTGGCTGGGAGCATGATGTTTACGTGTGAATGTATAATTTTAATGTGAACAACTCAAAATGATTGTTCAGCTATCAGTTACCCATGAAACACTTTTGTTTAACTAGAGATGTAAGCATGTTGGCAATGCCAAGACTTGCTCAACGCCTACGTGCCCTGGATAAGAATAACACACACACACACACACACACACACACACACACACACACACACACAGATTTGCTCTTGACAGAAATGTTGAGCAGAATGTTAGCTGTAGATTTTTACCGGAATTAATGTAACAGTCGCTTACAAATACAATCACAAATTTCAATGTAAATGTATTCATCTCCTATTTTCCAGCCAACCTGTCACAAAGTGACATGAGGTGAATAGGTAATGGCCAGCTATTCCAGCCCAGAGTATAGTAGTCAGATAAACACAGACACGTACCAGATAATGCTCTCCGCTTGCCTTGACTGAGTTTTGTCTCAGTGTTGAGTTACAGGCAGCGTTACTCACATAAGGAAATTGATAGCTTTTGGTTGTCCCATTGACACAGATTCTTCCTGTTACTATGGTGGAGGAGTCGGGTCATCACTATGTCGCCCGGAAACATCATTACGATAAGGCCTGGCACTAGGGGTTTGTCCTACTTGTTTAGGGGCAAACCGTCCATTTCATTTGAGGTATCATGGTGCGAGAGAAAGAATGAGTTCTATGTTTACAAAAGGTCCAAATTATAAACCTTTCCCCTGACGGTTCCAACTCTAAACGTTACTAATGAAACTTCCGCAGTTAGGTTACTGTGACCCGAGTATCACTCCGAAACACAACAAGAATAATATTTGACTCAAAATATCTTCCATTTAACAACTATAATGTTTTGAGAAACTTTATTTGGGACCCATCATTTGACCGTCTGTTAAAAGTTCTTGAAAATTAGTGAAGTTCAAAATCCGGCAGCCCTGTAATATGGAATTCCCTTCAGATCACCGTATTCACTTAGGATCGTCTATATTGCTGTCTAAATTGGCATGTAATACAATTTGATAGACATATATATGAATATGAATATATATATTCATGCTTCGCGGACGCAGCTTGAGATTTAAAATAAGCTCTCGCAATATTAAATAACAATCTATGTATGTGAAGCATGAATATGATATAACTCACTGCCACAAGATAGCAAAGACCAAATAATGTAAGAAAACCCATCTTGAGTGAGAACATGGAAAGGTGGGGTGGTTATTAGATCATAGTGATGTCTCTCAGCAAGTGTCAAACTTCGGCTTCATGACACGAAGAAGAAGATTATTCAGTACAAAGGCCAAAGACCATGTGCGTTACATACATACAGGGTGGTTATTAGATCATAGTGATGTCTCTCAGCAAGTGTCAAACTTCGGCCTCATGACACAAAGAAGATTATTCAGTACAAAGACCAAAGACCATGTGCGTTACATACATACAGGGTGGTGATAGTTCGAAAGCAGTACAGATGAAGGGTATACTATCATAATAGCGATTAACGTAAGATAACGTTGAGTTGAGCTTGACTTTACGTCACATCGGCATTTTTCCAGCCATATTGTGACGAGAACAAGTTTAAGCTTCTTTGACATATTGAATATCTTTGTTAGTGTTGCAGGTACATAAAGATGACATTCTGGATTGGCAGGCAATTCGAGTAAATCAGCAGTTCTAGGTTACTTTGGAAGACATTCTAACATTGAAGAACGTGTTCCTATGACAGTTTGCGACAATTAATCGGTGGATTCTACTGTTATACATGTGAAGTTGTCTCCAAGAAGTGGACGCCATTACCAGTTGAATCATCATCAAAGATGTTTACTTTCATTATCAGGAATAAAGTTATTCGATTCATGGTTTGAAATACAACTGAGAATGAATGTGCTGAGTTGAGTTGAGTTTTACGCCGCATCGGCATCATCCCAGCCATACAGCGACGAGACCAAGTCTGCAAACATAAATATTTTAAGTACAATGTTCAAATGAGTTGGGCTTTTCAAAAACATATTTATTCAATACGTTATTATTGACAACAGAAAATGTTATAGCACCAAGTTTAAAAACAAGAAATCCGTCATTCACATTACAAAGTTACAATTGATGGTACACGTCACGCGGGAAAACATATCTTTCAGATTATGTTTCATAATAAGTCCCTTGTATTTGAAAATTCCACACACTCAAGCATATTATGCTTGATGGTGAACACTTCATCGCAAGAGATACGCACAGGAAGCCCATTTCCATCCGTTTTCAGCAGATAGTCATGAGTGAACTGACTGTGATCAATACTATGGTGGCTGATTAGGGCCTTTGCTTTCTCGCCTTAAAATTCGGAGGCGAGAAAGCGAGAAAGCGATATCACGAGACGAGAAAGCGATAACACGAGACGAGAAAGCGATAGCACGAGACGAGAAAGCGATAGCACGAGACGAGAAAGCGATAGCGCGAGACGAGAAAGCGATAACGCGAGACGAGAAAGCGATAACACGAGACGAGAAAGCGATACCATTACGCGAGAAAGCGATATACCAAGGCGAGAAAGCGATATAGCGAGAAAGCGATAGAGCGAGCAAGCGTTAGAGCGAGAAAGCGAGAAAGTGAGAAAGCGATCGAGCGAGAAAGCGATCGAGCGAGAAAGCGATATTTCACATAATTCTGCCCTGTCTGCACATGACGTCTAACCTGCGTATGATTTAATCCAACAGGAGGCTTTATTGTCATTTGGTTTAATCGTATAGAAACAAAATGAACATGCTTTCGAATGTTGTGGCATTTTTGTAATTAATCCTTTGACTAGTCCAAACAATAATCCAACAATAACACCAGAAACCGAGTGTGTTTTCGTTGAAATAAATGAGCGCTCTTAAAATGTCTGTAAAAAGGATAACAATCATTTATTGTTACATCACTTATTAGGTCTGGATTAATTCCTGGCTTTTCCCTCTTTATTGTCATTTCCCTTCAAATGCCACCATTGTTATCTCATTATTCATGCCGGGATTAACAATCCCTGGCTTCCGTTTGTCCATCCACCCTACCAATTTAGCGCTAATTAAGTACTGGCTTCCCTTGTTATCTTATCACTGTTTGTTTATCACTGTACGTCTTTAGCTTTCTGTTTCCTAGTTTCTAGTCTCTCCATTCACTCGATGGAGAATAAGAATATACTCCGTTGCAAATTATCGTGTTATACAAATACAGAAGTTTACGCCCATAACTTCTCTTAAATACCTTTTAGGTATTTTGCAGAGTCCTGTTTTATGAGCTCAGTTTTCACTGGGCTAAGCTACACATTTGCCTACTCCCCATGTTACCCGTGAAGATCCGGGTTGATTGGTCTTCAGCAACACATGCTTGTCGTAAAAGGTGACTAACGGAATCGGGTGGTCAGGCTCGCTGACTTGGTTGGTTGACAATGTCATCGTAACCCAACTCTGCGGCGTTTTTTTGCTCATAATGTTGATCACTGTATTGTCTGGTCCATACTCGAATATTTACGGATCGCCGCCATATAGCTGTAATATTGCCTAGTGCGGTGTTAAACAACAGACCAACCAAACCAACTCTCCGTCGGGCTGTATTGTAATCAAGTGGTGGAATTTTATGCACTTAATGTGCCTTCATCTGGTCGTTTAATGTGTGCATATTTCACACATATATATATCTACTATTATGTGGAAAAGGTATTGTTCTAAATGTAATGTGACATAATCTCTCATACTTCTACAAGAATGGCTTTGTGTACATACGTATATGTATGTCTGTCCCCGAACTCCCCAACTATCGACTTGAGACAGTGCCACAATTCATCGACCGACGTGGTAGGTGTGTTTAAGCAAAACGTAATAAAATTATTGCTTGGGGAATAAAGCACTATATGATAAACACCTGTATATTGAAAATAAGTTAGTTTTAGATGGGGAGCTGAGAAGTTGGGCGTAAGAAGGTGGGAAGTTGATTGCGTATAAGTTCAACTAAGTAAAGTAGTGTAAAGTATATTGTGACTTATTGTGCAGAACAGTTAAACTGTTGCTGATAAGTTAATAAGGAATCTACTAAATAGATGAATTGGGGTTAAATGTTAAAAGTAGGGCTGGGGAGCCAGGGTACGGCGTTTATGTTTTGGTTGTGAAACGTGTGGTGCGTGGCCTTGACATTGTGAGTTTGTCTGGATAATCGAGTTTACACTGTAATGTGTGGCTGGATAGGGATGTTTTAAAGGGTTTATTCTGTATATATTCTGATATTTTATTTTACCAGTCTGGTAGTTATTGAGTCATTTAGTTTCTTCTAGTAACTAATAGGTAGTAGGTACTAGTCTTTGCACCTGTGTCTTTTTTAATATATTGTAAGGAGTTTCGTTGGGGATAGAGAAGGACGGGAGCGACTCACTCCTGTGTGTACAAGATAAATGTTTTGTAGATGTGTAGGAGGGTTTATTTGTCTGCATCCCAGTGAATGCCACCTATTGCTCTCATTCGATTGGAATCGTTTTGACATGAGTTGACCAGGTTAATAACAAGATGATACAGGTAGATAGTTCCATATATTGAACGAGTTTCAAGTCCTCCTCTGGAAACGAAAATGTTACGAAAGATTAACTGGATACACTAATCAGCTTTTCAAAACCTATGCGACCACGTCCAGCTGTAGCCTTTACTTTACTTTTATTCTCAATAGACCACCAATGGTGGTATAAGAGTACATATCACACACATCAATTATTACATACAGTCAAAATGGCGGCGGAGGGTAATAATATATTGTAGAAAACCAGTTGTTGGTATAACATGTCTATTATCTAACTTTTGTCAGAAGAAAACATGGCGGAAAAGATGGGTTTTGATAGATATTTTGATGGCAGAACAGGTTTGAAATTATGGACCAAAATGTCTCTTACATTATAATAAAGGCGTTGTATATCCATATAACTTTCCCCGTTGTTAAGCACCAACTTCAAATGCCATCCAAAGAAGTTCACTATATATGGCTAGACCAGCGTTTAACTGCGTACTGTTTTCAGCTTTGATTAGACGAACGTTTGACTGCATCCTTTTATTTGCTTAGATTACACCATTGACTGTGGAATGGTTCTGTTACTACATTGAGGTACCAAGGTGCTTTTACTGTCACGTGCGTCTCCTCTATCTTTGGTAGGAGCGAATTGGAGTTGATGTAGGTGAAGTTCTTCAGTTAATAAATTTCATCGTCTTTATTAATTCAAAGAAACTACAGCTGTATTTTGATCACCCTGAAATACAATAAAGTGACATAAACATAAACGGTTAAGTTCCCATGCCCTCATTTCTAATTCCTCCACCTATAACCAAACAGCGAGAACTGATAATTATTTATGAATTGTCTCACATACGGCTCATTTATAGTGTCACATACTTCAAAACTCTCTGAATGTGATGTATATGTAATAAACTGAGCTGCAAAAGAAACGTAAGCTCCAATTTGTTTGAAATGTAAGTGTAACTCACCATTCCATTAAGTTGGAATT